ACAGCCCAAACCGGGGTGTCACAAGTCACGAGCATCTATCAGAATGTAAATCCACTACAAGGTCTCTAAAATACAAAACTGAAATAACGAACAAAAGAGAGGAAAATGGTGCTGCGAACGCTGGCAGTCACCTCCTTAACTCATATAACTCTGCCTCTGATCAGCCAAAACCCGCTACCGGGTGAATAGATACCTGCATCTGCACACAAGGTGCAGGGAGTAAAGTGAGTACTCCAACTTATTGAGTAATAAGGGTAAATAACAACTGAGTAGTAAGAAATTACGTAAAGCAAACCATCATGCTATACATGAGCAGTGTAAAACCCTTTGAGAAAAATAGTGAAGCTGTGAAATCTTTAGAAATATCTTAGCTCAGTTTAAAACCTCTTTTGAAAATGACTTGTTCAGTAGTATACAAACGAATGCAATTCAAATAGTGCAGATAAGCACAGAAGTCCGCCCCTCGGGCACCACACTCAATTAACAGATAATTTTAGGCAATCCGGTAGATATCACATGAAGTAGCACAAACAGCAGGTAAAGGCAAGCAAATAAGATAAAGTAAACACACAGAACAGTACTAGTACCGCTGCGGCGTGCAGCCCACTCCACATACCGCTGCGGCGTGCAGCCCAATCCGTTTATCGTCGGCGGCGCTCACTGAGGGTGTGCAGACTCCGGGAGGGGCCCATTACGGCCCAAGCGCAATAATAAGCCATCTCGTGGCATCAACTAGGCCCTCGGCCTCATATCAATAGCAATATCATACCGCTGCAGCGTGCAGCCCGATCCCATACTCAGTCCAAAATCGCATTAGCCCCTCGGGCACAATCATATAGAAATATTCAGCCCAAACTTCATTAAAAATATTAGTTAAGTTTCAAGTTTAAGAAAAAGTGGCTGAGTTTGCAAAAAAGTATTAAATTCAATGATATGTAAAAATGATAAGAAACCAGTAATAACAATCCCTGAAGGATTCAATCAATTGGAACGAAGCCCAAGTATAGCAACCAGCTCAATCAAAATGATAATAAGTGAGTTTCAGTCAAATACGCAGTATATTCATCTACCGGGACGGACCAGGTCACAATCCCCAACGGTGCTCTACTCCACGCTCGCAATCCGGCGTGCAAGTCACCTCAATATAGCACTACGATGTGCAGATACGGGGTTTCAAACCCTCAAAATATCATTTACAATCATTACTCACCTCGAACCGGCGAAATCTCTAGCTCGCGACGCCTTTGCCTCTCAAATCGACCTCCTCGCACGTCGAATCTGATCAAAATCACAACGAATACGTCACAATATGCCAATGGAACAATACCCAATCGAAGACAATCGAAAAATAGCGAAAATCTCGAAATTAGCAAAAGCCGAGCTCCGGGCCCACTTCTCGAAAATCAAAAAATTTAACACAACGGATTCCTTATCTCTCCACGAGTCTATACATACAAAGATTACCAAAATTGGAGTCCGAATGACCCCTCAAATCCCCATTTTAACTCTCTTAAGTTTCAAGCCCTAACCTCCATTCTAACTCCTTATTTCCTTGGTTTTTTCAGTCTAAATTCGCAATAAAAACGTGTTTTTAGTTCATAGGACTTACCTCCAATCAATCCCCATCGAAATCCTCTTCAATTCCCGTCCGAAAGCTCTCAAGATTGCTCAAAAATGATGGAAATAAGACTTGGTTCGCGGATGAAATATTTAATAAAACCCTTCTGTGCAGTGATAGTTTCTTCTATGCGAACGCGAGGCCCTTCTTGCGTTCGCGATGCACAAAATTGCTTCTGACAAAAATACCCTTCGCGAACGCAGTTACCCTCACGCGAACGCGAAGCTCTGGACCCCTAATCTACGCGAACGCGACTACCTTCATGCGAACGCGAAGGGCAACTGCCCTGGGACCTAATTCCTTATACGCGATCGCGAACATTCACCTGCGAACGCGAAGCACAAGTTGCTCACCTTCCGCGAACGCGAAGCACAAACTCAGGCCAACCCAAATTCCTTCTACGCGATCGCGAGGGACCTCACGCGATCGCGAAGGCTAATTCTTCTGCAACAGCTGATGATCAATTTCTGCAACATTTTTCAACTTCAAACTTCCCGTTAGCCATCCGAAATCACCCCGAGGCCCCCGGGACCTCAACCAAAAGTACCAACACCTCCTATAATATCATTCAAACTTGTTCCAATCATCAAAACGCCTCAAACAACACCAAAATCATCATATTACATTGAATTCAAGCCTAAGTTCTTCTAAAACTTTCGAAACACGCATTTGATCAAAAACCCAACCAAATCACCTCCGAATGACTTGAAATTTTGCACACACATCCCAAATAACATAATGAAGCTACAGAAACTCTCGGAATTTTATTCCGACGCTCGGATCAAAATCTCACCTATCAACCGGAATTCGCCAAAATACTAACTTCGTCAATTCAAGCCTAATTCTACACCGGACCTCCAAAACCAATCCCGATCACGCTCCTAAGTCACAAATCACCTAACGAAGCTAACCAAATCATAAAAACTCCAATCCGAGCTCATATACAAATAAGTCAACTCTTGGTCAAACCTTTCAAATTCAAAGCTTTCAACTGAAATTGTTCTTTCAAATTCATTCCAAATTTTCCTGAAAACCAAAACCAACGATCTACATTAGTCACAATACATAACACGGGACAAGTCATGCCCGAGAACTGGCGATCAAAGTGCAAAAGCTGGAAACGACCGGTCGGGTCGTTACATTACCGTACAATACCATGATAACAAATTGTAAATAGTTACTAGTTAATACTGAGCTATTAAACTAATAAGTATTGTATCTCGTAAACATGAAAAAAAATATTTAGAAAAATAATTATATAAAAAATTATGGACTATTATATAGTAAAGACATAACAAAAGTTAATAAATAAATACTTTTTAAATGAAAAATATATTTAAAATTAACTATCATAGCAGTCTTAGTGGATAACATGCAATATTTTTTATTTTAATTATGACATAAAATACTCTCAACTTAATGATTTATGATTAAGAAAAAAGTAATTTTGAATAGTCAACGATTTATTAAGAAAATTTGAGGATTTACAAGGTTAGTTACAAACAATTGCATAAAGTTCTATTAGGCGAGCCCAATAAGCTAGGTGTTGGGCGTGTCCGGGGCGTAAGCCCCGATGGCCGAGGCGTAAGTCTCACGGAACTAAGCCCCACACATAAGCCCAACGGCGTTTTACAAGTGCTCCGCCCCAGGGCGAGTCCCAATTCTGCCTTTTAAAACAGAGATATCAATTATATCAATTCTATATATTATTAAAAGGAGAGGAAAAAGCCCTCTCCTTAAGCCAAGTGGCAGCCTAAAAAGAAGCCACATGGCATAATTAGTTACTAATTAGTTATTTAGTTAATAATTAGTTATTGGTTATTGTTTTTGAATTTAAATATATATAACAAGCAAAAATAATAAAAAAATAAAAAAACTATCATCTCTCTCTCTCTCTCTCTCTCTCTCTCTCTCTATATATATATATATATATATATATATATATATATATATATATATATATATATATATATATATATATATATACCAAAGATAGATTAAGACAGTATAAGATATACTCTTCTTCTTAGATGGTATGATTGATGATATGATAGTATTAAAATTATCAAATGCAGTTGTTTTTTATATATGTCTGAACAAATTTTATTATTTTGTTCTAGGTATATAAAATTTATGGCTAAATCTATTATCGAATAAATTCGGTTTCTATGTCTAGCTTAAATTCTTCCAATCTGGATTATAGTTACCTAAATTAATAGGCATTAAAAAATTTTTATTTTTGTTTTTATGGTAAAATTTATAAGGTAAAAAGATATGAATTTTTTGCGGTAATTTTTTTTTTTATGATTAAAGTCTTATGTTGTAAAATCCTATTCGGTACTCTGTCTCTTATTCTGTAAACCTATATTGTTACAGTATTATCAAAATTATGAACTGAAATTACCCCTTCTATACTTTTTTTTTTGATTATATA